GAGTCCTGGCCCAGCCCTGTGCGAACTGAGCAGACGTGACCGATAGAGTATGGTTATCAGCTTACAAAGCACACGTACGATCGTGTGAGTAGTATGTATTACTGATACTTTTGTATAGCGTATCGGTGGTTCGTTGAGTTAAGACTGTTTACGTCACGCGACGTCAGGCCATCGACGACGCCACTTGGACGTTCTTGCATATCGGCCCACCCACTCCCACACAACGCTAGTCACTCAGTTTACTGGTAAAGTCGATGCGAACAACGCGTGTCGAATTTTTGCCTCTGCTCGGAACTGTGTACGATATTCGCAACTGATTGCATATTGTTTACAATATAAAAATAACATTTTGTGCCTTAGAAAGTCATTCGTGAGACATTACCATAACAACAATTTACATATAACAATAACATACTAAGGTAAGATTGCGTATAAGTTTTCTGAAATCTGCTTCCGTAATATTTCTTAAAAGTTTAGAATTATAGTAAAAATTAATTGATATCAGATCTTTAATTACGCTTCTTGATTTGATATAGTTACGATACTTTGTAATAAATACAGAATAATACTATTAATGTAAACGAGTAAGTACATTTTTGATTCGTCTTTTTTGTTTTTATTAAATAAATAAAAACACTTGCTCATTATTACTGTGCAAGTATTTTTTAGGACTGAAGTGTTCTACGTATGGATTTATATTCTCAGAGATATCGCAATTACTCAGGCCTTCATGCTACTATAATTTACGTGTTTTCACTTTTAACTTTCTTCAGCTTTTAAAAGGATCAACAATCAATTCTTTTATAATAATATGTACGAATTATAGATTAATTTAAGATAGTTTGCATTACTTTAACTTTGTTATAGGTATGCACTTTCATCTGTTGGCGGTTATTTATTACCTTTGAGTCTAAATAACATCAGAATGATGAAGGTACATTAAATTCTTGACACTTGTTTTGAAATCCGCTTGACATCAGATAGCGAGTGTGTACTTGGTTGAAATTTTCCTCCAACAAAGATGACTCATTATAGTTATACGTAATAACGATATTATTCAATTGTATGAATGGATTTATAGTTTCCGTCAGAATTGATCTTTAATATGTATATATTTATCAAATAAGTTTACGTATGGTTAAATACTCAAGACACAGTAATTTCTTTTAAATTTATTTAATGCAGGAAGCGCTAAATTATTATTTTTTTTTGGCACGAATTAGAACTTGTTTAGTAGAGTCGGTCTTCATCCTGTCACTCTTGATTTTGAAACTCGATTTACGGTTTAACTACTTTTACCATATGTTTTGAAGGAGAACGTAGGTAGTGCAAAAAAAATGAGGTCAGTAATTTAATAGAAGAGCTGTTTTGCTGTATATTTCTTGCGATGTATGTTTCTTTATCTTAATGCTGTTACCCGTTTGACATTTAGGTATGTAATATCGAGCATTTGCTACAGTGCTAATTAAATATATTGTAGATAAAGAAATAAAGGTAACTATAAATATGTATAACGAATCTATCATGTTACGTCTGTCGATAATTAAATTATCACTTCATATTTTCTCCATCGGTCGTGATTTCCAGAAGTGACTAGTGTCTTGAATTTGTATCCTTTTTTTATAGACACTGATAAAAGAAAAAAATAACTGATAATAAAACTTATTTTATAGGTAGGATTTCTCTGCAAATAAGTTCAATGAACCTTAAGTAGCAGGGAATTGTTTGAAAGGGTGTGACTCGTTTGTTACAATGTTCTAACATTACAAAGCAAACATAAAATTCGCCACTTATAATATGTGGCTCGCATGTAAACGTCGTGAATCTCACTATCACAGTAATGTTGTATCGTCTTATCACTATAATGGCTCCAATCTATCACAATCAGAAGTAATCTCTTTTTCATGCATATGTTATCGCATGTCAAAGATTTTTTAAGGTTAAAATGCCGAATGTACCTTTGTATTTTTAATAAAAGGTATGTGACCCTTACCAGGGATTTGGTACCCGAGACGGCGTGCGGTTTTTGGTCGGTTCGAGTCCGACATAACACCCATCCGAGGGGATTTCCGCACCGGAAAAAAAAAACAAAAAAAGGTATAAAAGGTAAGGAAGTGAAGTGATTATCATCTTATCTTCTTAGAAAGAATAAATTACTTATTTGCTGCATTCTTCGTTCGTTACAGTATTCGTTATCCTGTTAAACTAACACGCGCAATGCTGTTTAAACACGTGAAAGACTTGGTCATGCGCAGCTGACCGATAGATAAGGTTTCAGTAAATACTTGTTCACTTACTCATATTTGTTATATAGTGTTGTTCGTTGAAATAGCTATATGTCACACTCTGGGTCAATTTTAATTACATACGGTGACCACAGACGGTGTATATTTGCCTACCACGCTGATTATCATATTAATTTAATGATGTTTAAACTTTAAAATTTAGAATACTGTATTTACAGTATTTACGCAATGTACAAACAATGACAGTAAAAAAACATTGTTGTTGTTGATATAAATTCCTTGAACACTTGATGACACAAATACACACAAAGTTAGCGAATATTCTATTAAAACAAACAAATAGATATAAGCTGTACTCGATTCAGTTCGAAGTGAAAGAAAAAGTGTCTGCTAACCTGATAAGCACATTTGAATTAAGTAGAATAACGTATTATTTAGTATAATAACGTATTATTTAGTAAATATGTTTTAAAGGCGAAGAAATTCGTGTATCGAATATTAATGAGAATTGATAAGATGTTAAAAGGACCTTGCCACGACAGTGGTTATGCTACTTTTTTATACCGTTACGATTTATAAATAAATATTAACGGTTTGCTCTAAAAATTAACAATATTTTAAAAACAAGTTTATTGCATTTTATTTTAAAATGAATGTCGAGTTTTGACGAATAATGACTAACGCTTACACTTAAGTGATTATCACTGGGTTCATTTGAATATGTTAAGTATACATATAAGATATTACAATAAAGTCTTGCAGTTTTAATAAAAATGTTAGAAATGGAAATCTCAAAATCTAAAACCGTTAAAATAGGGTTTTTACTTAGATTATTATAATTATGGTAACTTGACTATTATGATCTCATTATAGTCGCGTTACCACAGACGTCTGTGTGAATATTGAACTTGGAAGCCCTTGGTACAGAAATAATTTAAGCCAGCTGTCACTCAGGTCTCCTTGGACACCTGCCACTACGATTCATACATTAGTTAGATGAAATACATAAAGATAAATATTTCGCTTTCCTAATTGCAGCACTAAACACATTTTCGTACATAGATTTTTACAAAAAAATAAAGCACTATATCTGACTGAATTTTTGTGACCGCTTAACTAATTCGGTTGGGTCAAACCAAAGAACAAAGAATAATATTTTCACTTTTTCTGTGTTTTAAACATTATTTATCATAATTTATTGTTGGTATATTATTTATTTGAATATATAACATATTAACAATCTGTAATAGTTATCTAATTCATTTTTTTTTTACAAATAATGAGAATTCTTATTCTTGAAATGCTACGCTGCATAAGGTATAGGTAGGTGGTAAGGTGGTATTTTCTTTGTATCTTCCTGTAGGTGATTTACCGTGTTTCTGTCATTAGAACTTCAAGGCCTTGGTTGTGAGTAGACTAATAATATGAATCTAAATGTGTATACCACCGGATCTAGCAGTCTCAAGTCAGTCGTATAAAGTCCATTTCGATAAATTAATATGAGCGATAAAGAGTAACCACTTGCAATAACAACGAATAAGTAGATTATAAAAATCATTAAGCGATTAATATGATTTACCCACTATTTCATTTTTGTCGTCATAATATGATGTTAAGTTATATAGGTTACAATCAACCTGTTGTGACTATTCTTGAAAATTAGTCATTGTCGCTAGATACCGGGGGGCAGAGTCCACGAATCGCGTCACTTTCCGCCACTCAACACGGCGCTGTCCTGTACGTAAGTCTCAACTTCAACACGATGTGATCTCGTGTCTCTTTATTGCAAATATTGATGAAATTTGATTCCCTTACTTTCTGTCTATTTTTGAGTTCCTACCTGTAAATTAAATTAAACTCACTGTAACTGTTACGTTCATAAAATATCAACGGTATAACAATTTCCATAAATGAAGAACATCAAAAAATGACCTCAATAGGTAACCCAAACACGCATATTCGAAATTCTGCATCTTGATTCGATCACGCAGCATTGCACAACATTCTGTATGTACAGCCTAATTTACTAGTCATTCTAACAGAGCGAATGAACTCTTATCAATTATATTATACCTAGGTATGAACGTTCGTGCTTGTAGTCACAGACACATACGTTGCCTATATTCGTAGTCCAATCTATTATGGGCGAAATAGGACATGAATGTACTGGTCCCGAAACTATTTCAATGTATTCTGTTATGAGTGCTGACTGAAGATAGCTGGACTTTAAAACAATGTTTATAGATACTAATAAGTTCATTGTGGTTGCACAATCAGTTTGATTGCTAACATTCTTATCTACTGAGAAAGGTTAATATTAAGAATGCCTTTTAATTGCATAAACAAGGTGTATCACTATTAACGAACGTGAGGATCTGGTTTTAAGCTTTTTTAAATCTATTACAAAAACAGAAATATGTACTTACATAATATGCATCTATTTAGCACCCGACATTTACATAAGTATATAATAAATGCTTAGTTTAATCTATAGTCTGTAATACTTTTTATTTTTTTTTATAAAAACTCGTTTTACAATGTATTAAAAACATCCAAAAAACCATTTGTCCGATACTGATATTGACTAAGTATTACTTATATATGTTTTTCTTGTTACAGGAACCCTAATGTTTTGATCTCAGACCCCAAGATGGGGTAATTAATAAGACTAATAAATTAAGTGTAGTGTCGTGATAACTCCTTCTTCGTTTAATTAATCGGTATAACGCGGAAGTGATATAAATAACAGTCGCCATGTATTCTATGAACTATATTGGCAAGTTTATTGCCAACTTTCGGGAGTTTTACAATGAAATCAACGGTGCAACGCTGACAGGCGCCATTGATGTCGTTGTGGTCGAGCAGCCAGATGGTAGCTTTACCTGTTCGCCCTTCCACGTCCGCTTCGGAAAACTCGGAGTTTTGAGATCCAGGTTTAAAGTGGTAAGTAATAAAACTCATGAATTGGCAGTAGTTTAATTAATTATTTGTCCGTGTGGTGACGGATTAAGAATACCTCAACCCTCATTCATTCCGTTTGTCTCGTAAGAGGGGACTAAGGGAGCAAACTACGCAGGACGCCAACCCTGGCCAGCCTGCCATCGTGGTAGGTATAGATAGGCCCAAACCTAATTTCTAAGGAGAAGCCTATGTCCAACAGTGGACTATTAAAGACCGTTGATGATGATGATGAGTTAATTAATTATAATAAATATAAGTTAAAGGACAATTACGTATTTGTAATTTCTCTCGCTGGACTGTTCAAATGACTGCACATATGTGCCAAGATATTTATAAAAATCCGAAAGTCCAGAGAACGTGAATGAATTTTGATGTTCACGATACGTAAGTGAGATAAGAATTCATTGTTTACACGAGTGTGAGTATTACTCATTACCTTTATATAATTGCCATCATAAGGCGCATCATAAGAAATTATGTACATAAACGTTATTTCTATCTACCAACAATATATTGAAGCTTGGTTCAATAGGAGAACAAGAAATAACAAGGCTATTGCTTGCTATTACGCACCTCAGTATATGTTATCGCGTAAAGTTTAAAAACTTGTTTGACCTTCGATCCAGTCAAAGCAACTTACCATCTCCAAGTTTGCGGAGACAGCCACACCTTTGTATAGTCAGCTCGTTCATGGCATGTAACGAATGTTTTTGCAACATGTCGTTGTTTATTACTATCTAATTTACATTTATGTAAGGCTTGAATTTTATTAGTTCGATAGTGTTACGACATATAGCCGAAGCAGTAATAATCAAATTTAATAGCCAAGTTATAGAGAAGTGTTAGCATCTCATGATACAGTAACTATCATGTTGTATGTTACTCGAACTTTTCTTTAATTTTTTACTTGTAACAATCATACCCAATGACAAGACTCTTTTTTAGATGTTGCTGCATTTTCATTTCGAAGTCATCATCATCATCATCAACAGCCTTTACTAGTCTACTGCTGGACATAGGTCTCTCCTTAAAAAGGAGGTTTTTGCTTACGAAACGAGAAGAGTAATCGTCTCGATAAAATATCGCATCTCGATAATTATATATATTATGTTACACTGTTAATTGTTCTACATTTAAAAAAAACTTATTTTTAGTACATTCTAGAATAGAGGTATTCAAGTAATCCAGGAGATATGATTTTGGATTGTGTAATAATTTGGGAAATGGTATCAGAATATTTTGTAATGGAATACATAATAGTAGTTGCAAAATTATTAGTAATAGGGTAATTTGTAAATTAAAGAAAAACATGGGCATGCTATATTTCTATGATATTCTATCGCCGAGGATGATTTAAAACTTATAAATATATTAATTAGGATTAGTATTCTACGCAAGTGTCAAAAAAATGGTGAAAACGTTTTTATTCCCTAGCTCATTTCGCTAATGCTGCAAAAACTACGCAAAAAGTGAAAACTCCAACAATATTTGAACTTCATAGTGTATTATTAGGTACAATTACTTAATAGTGTATTCACAAGCTCAGTTGCCAGAGTATCTAAAATTCCTAACGCATATTTTATTCAACGTACAATATTTATTTAGGTTGGTATATAGGCAAGACGGAACAAGTCGTCGACATTCTTTTTCAATGCTCTCGCAGTTTACGCTCCATGCACGCTGTTCGAATTTAGATAGTTCTAAGATTTACGAGTATTGCGTTATTAACGTTATAACTTTAATATATGATTAACATAATTTAAGTACTACCTTAGCATTATAAGGAAATAAACCATTTTATGAATTCAAATCACTTATCAATGACACTTAGTGAATTTTAAACCAAGATTGATTTTTATTGCTTATAATAATAATAATAATAAGTTTATTTCGGAACAAGTCCAGAGTTGGTAGTATACATATTTCACTTAAAAAACGAAGGCAGTAAAGTATATATAAAAAAAGAGAACTTTAATGAGATATCGTTAGCTGTATAATTTTAGTATATGAATGAAGATACATTGCCAAAATAGCTGAAGGAATGTGCGTCGTATTCACATTGGGTGAAAATTGGACTAATGCCAAAGTAGGAGACAACTCTTACCAAGTGTTTAAAGATTGGCACAAATATTTTTCTCTATCCAGACACCTGTTTTTTTTTAAAAGAGCGCATTATATCCCGAAATTCGAACATAATTCCTATTACCTGAACTATCATTTGATATTTGAATTCACATACTTTTATTGTACATAATATGAATGTATTTAAAGGGTCAAATATATGTCTATAAATGAAGTGCATTCATATTTGTCTTGTAATGTGGTGTTCTACATAATTGCAATGGATGTGCCTTTTAAAGGTGGAAATGTACCTATATGTCAATTCTGAGATATAAATGTCTCGTGTATGCCAAATTTGGTATTGATGGGCTAAACTGACTTGACTGGACGGTTGACGTGGTGGTTTAAGCAGTCTCCACGCCGCTTCCTAATGTGCTGAGGGTTCGATCCCCACATGGGACAACACTGTGTGATCCACAAATTGTTGTTGTGTCGATTCCTACTGCAAGTTTGACTTTTTCGAAAAAAGATAAATTATCATTATTTTCATGCATTAGAATATTAGAATGTATTTTCACATATGTGCGCCAGGAATTAAGTATTTAGAAACTAAAAATTATTCTCAACAGGTGGACTTGGAACTAAACGGCGAGCCACTAAACATTCACATGAAACTGGGAGAATCAGGAGAAGCCTTCTTCGTAGAAGAGGTTGGCGAGGATGAGGCAGAATGTTCGGCACATCTGGCTACTTCACCAATCCCTGCCACAAGGTTTGAGGAGTTATACGAACCGAGACGACGAAACTCGCTCTCCGCCGTCGAACCAGATCATGGACAAGCGTCAGACTATACTAAAAGAAGGTAGGTATTACATTTATTATCCAAGAGTATCATTTTATGTTTTGTCATAAGTTAAAACGCATTGCAATAATTATGACCCACATCATATATGTTATCGAAAGCATTAGTTACTATTTACCTATTTTCTACAGATACACGGCAGATGGACAGTCAATGCAGAAACCAGACCTAAGTAAAATAACTAAGAAACCTACCAAAGAAGACAATATAAATAATGACCATGAAGCGTTATTTGAAATGGACGGCTTAGACGAAGCGACAGATAAAACGGACGGAAGAGCACCTAGAACTTTCGCCGCGACACAGCTCGGTGGAGCTGAGAGCGAAGCGCATCAAGTTGTGCAAAAGATCAGCGCACACAATGACTTCCGGCCTATCGATGCCGCGCCCTCTAATCAAGACGAACTAAAACAAAACGGTAACGGAAAGAAAAAGAAGAAAACAAGGAAGACCACTTCAAAGAAACACCAAAGAAAGTCATCGACTAGTTCTATTTCTAGTCAATCCGATCGCGCGGGCTCCGAGCAACGCGCCACACAGCCAGCTCCCATTCCAAACGTCACTGATATCAACTTCTTCAGCGACACAGAAATGAACCCCACTTCTCTAAGGTATTTTAAAAAGTTAACTAAACAAATAGCGATACTTTTATGGTCCTCCCCATAGAACAATTCAATATGTGTTATACCATTTGCATTCTTATAACATAAACATCTGTCGTCTTAGATCCTGAAAGAAAACATGTGTAGTATATGAAATGTGTTGTTATGTATGTGGCTGTGTGTTGAGCTGATCGCCTGGTTACAGTGAAGAGATGTCCAACCTCAACTTAACCGGTGACAACCGCATCCCACTGGCGTTATCGGACACAGCGTTTGAGGTGCACGCCGCCTCCAGACACGCGTAATAATTATACTAAATAACATTCATTACGCCACGCTTGCTGTTTGTTTATAACACTTATTTATTTGTATCGGTAGATTTCTAAATAGACGTCCATTCGTCGAGTCATTTCAATTGTAGCTTTCGTAAAAATCGTATGCAATCACGCTTTTCGTAAAGTAGTTATTAATTATATTTAGCGCACTGGTGAACATTTTAAATTGGAAAACCATTGTATAATTTTAAACTAATTGAACTTACCACAGTAGATTTATAACTTTAAAAATTTTATAGTTATACTAAATATTAGTAAATATTAACTTCCCTTCATTAAAAAAAAGGCTTTTTATACGTTTCATTATTTTCGGTGTATGTAAATCCTAATCCTGACTATTATGTTTATAGCTTCAATTTATGTATGTATGAGTCAAAACGCGTCCTGCGTTTTTTGTTTTGTGACTCAAGCATTATCAAGTAAAATAAATCATACATTTTTCTATACTATTCGTCATTTGAATTTAATGCAAATGTTATATTATACGTTGACCTCGTTACATACTAAGTTACCGTAACGTATACCGAATTGATATTGGTCATAAGCTCCTATTTTAGCGTTCTAAGTAACAAGTCTGAAAACGATTTGACTTTTTAACCAGAAAACGTTTAATCCATTACTATACTATACACTGGGCATCTTAAATTAGTAAAACAATAAAGGCTTTAATAACAGGAGGGGTTCACGTGGGGGCACACCTGTTCAATCGGATACCGAAGTGGAGCTAGCGGGACGTGCAACGGGCGACAAATCATCGCAGTCCTGGCGCTGGGGCGAACTGCCTGAGCCTCCGGTCCGTGGGACGGAGACGCTGGCCTCACCCGACTCGCCCGACTCACCTGTGTTACCAGCTTCGCCCGCATCTCCCACCGAGCCTCTGAGCTCAGACGAAGAGCGGCCCAGTCGGCGTGGTGTGCTAAGTGGAATGTTCCGCTTTATGTCTCCGCGTGACGCCTCCGACGTACCCGTGGAGGGCGTCTACCTCGACGATCTGGACCGGGGCCAGGTCGACCCTGATCTCTATTTTCCGAAACATCACATTGAACGCCATCGTTCGGGTAAGTTTCGATAAAAAAACAATTGGAGAAATGCCCATTTTGTACATTACAACTAATTAAAAAAAAAGAGAAAAGAGTTATTAACTTTATTATACTGTACTCGAATAGTATTAATATTATATAGTACTAGCTGACCTGGCAAACGTTGTTTTGCCATAATAATATACATTATTTCTAGGAAATATTGAAAAAAAAAATTAGGTGTGGATGTGGATGTTGGCCAATTTTCAGATCTACCCGATGTGCACACAAAATTTCATAAAAATCGGTTTCGGAGGAGTATGGTAACTAACATTGTGACACGAGAATTTTATATATAAAAAGATTAATTAATTAGTTGATGAAAGTATTTGCACTCCATGAGTTGATTGGGTACAATCGTGTAATACGTATAATAACTAAAGACTATACCATCCCATATCGTCTGTCTACAGGAGCTACTGCAATAGTACATTCTACAACGGGGCCTACCGAGGAGGAGTACGAATCTGGTAACGGACCGTCCCTCCCACAGTCGCCTGCGTCCCTCGACCCGCCTACGTTAGATTCCGACGACGACGAAAAACTTTTAGCGAAGTGAGTATCTTTCACTTGAAACGAACGAGACGACGATCGTTAATTTATTTTAGTGTACTGCGGCTAACGTTAAACAAACGAATGTTAGAGGTCAAGTGGGAGTATATGTGCAAGAGGATCGAGTGACCCGCGCGCTGTCGTTCGAAGAGTTCTGCTCCCGCGGCGGCGCGCTGGCGGCCGAGGGGCGCCTCGTGGTGCGCCTGGGCGGCCGCGCCCTGCCGTGGCGCAGCGCCGGGCCGCTGCTGCTGTCGCTCCTCGCCTACAGGAGGCCGCTGCCCAACGTGAGCATAAACCCTCATATTCCTATCGAGCTTTACTACTCTTCTCGATAAGTCAAGTCTCGACAAGTCTGCCTTTCGATTTTAGAACAGACGGCCGAGTGCGAGTTTATTTCACATCGACTCTACTCTCGACAGCGAGCGCGTTCGGCGTTGCGATCGGTTAAGATTTGAGTGCGGGCCGATTGCAGCGCCGAACGCGGTCACCGTGACGATCGAGTAGATGTGAAATAAACTCGCTTGGGCCTCTGATCGTTTGACTATCGTTCGAATAAATATAACGGGGTGACCGAAAAAAAATCTGTTCCGTTGACGCGATTTTCTAATAAAATTCATACGATATCCTCTATTTTCATTTATTGCAGAGTAAACTGTGTAGATAGCACTGCTTTTCTAAACCTAAAATCCATAATAATGCTTTTCCATAAGTATTAAAACGACCCTTTCTGTTTGCTGTAGTTATCTGAATGATATTTATATTATAAACATAAAATACTATTTCAGAAATATAATTAGAACTGTGTTTCATCTACCGATCGAACTCCTCTATCTATCTGAGGGCTTACTATTAAAGAAGCGTACAAACCCAAAGAATGAATTTGGCAATATGAAACAAATCACTTTCCAATCGTTAAAAATACCAATAACCACACCAGAGGTGTATAACTTGGATGCCTAAGGTGACTTTTGTTTTAATTTGTCTACAGCGCGTGTTAGAATCCTTAGAGAAAAGTTCAGAGAAAGACGAGTCGTCAATACGAACGCCTGACAGCGCGGTGAAGCCACGAAGCTACTCCTGGTGGAGCTGGCGTCGCTCCAAGGCGGAGGCGGAGCTGTGAGTCACCTACTTCTAGCTTTGCCTTTATTCCTCATATATACTTACACACGCCATACACTCATTATACACGTACATGACTAAACCCTAAATATAATGTCACCCACAGAGATTCTTCACTAAAAAGCTATGATTGTAAATGTAAATCGAGTACAAAAATAGAAGATTTCCGTTTGGTATCTAGATGATCTAATCCTGTAGAAGTTACTCAAACATTTAAATGCTCTCCTCTTATTTTTACTATGGTAACAGAAAAAACTAAATTACAATTAAATTTATTGAGTCACCGTCACAGCTGTATAACAAATACCGACTGTGGTATTGTATAACTTTTCTCTGTGCTAGTTACTCGTTGAATTTTAAGGAGAGGAGAGAAATACAATATAAATTCTAGTAGTGAAAGTAAACTTATATTGGGGTAAAACCGTAATAACAAAATTATACATAATTCAATTAATTCATATCTTGAGTAATACCTTGAGTTTCAAATATCATCGAGTATCCTCTCTTTTCTGTGTCTCTGTTATCAGGAATTGGCTATCAATAAACAATAATACAGCGCTTTTAATTAAAATAAATATACCCATTACTAATTTTCGTTATCATTTTAGTTCTGAAACGTCACCGCCAAAAGACGACATCGTAAAGGTTGTAGATACACTGATTGAAGTTGCAGCGGAACCTGATATAAATGAAATACAAGAAGAGACGCCATTCGAAGATGAAGCGAATGCTGAGCCGTCCATCAATATAGATATTGATCCTGTACAGCTAATAGAAAATGTTCCAGAACCTTTGCCTGAAATGAAGGGAGCACAGGATTTAGGTAACTCCTAGCAAAAGTAGAAAATAGCATTACGCTGTTTTTACTTACTGCTACTATTATTAATAAATGTTTTTTGTAGTCGACCACACGAGCCATGACCACAGTTCGTCTGATTCGGATCATGATGGTCAAGTCAAGAGGCATTCACGGAGATATTCGACCTTCAGAAAGACCCTTCGTTTATCATCAGAGCAAATCGTAAGTATTTAAATGAACATCTATTGTTTTATCTGCTTAATTAATTTACCTCCTAAGCGTGTATCTGCAACATTATATTTTTATTTTTGTATATCAATAAAAAGGAAGTTGTTTGTTATTTCCTGTTCTAGAAATTCTGTTAAAGAATAGTTTTTTATTAATTATAAAAATGAAAAAATATAAAACAAATAAGCAGTTTTTTTTAGTTTCTGTTAGTGTATACTTGATTTATGTAATATTCCTTCAGAAAAATCTAAATCTTCGCGAGGGAATGAACGAGATGGTGTTCAGTGTAACAACGGCGTACCAAGGCACAACAAGATGCAAGTGTAACGTGTTCAGATGGCGCTACGACGATAAGATAGTCATCTCAGACATCGATGGAACGATCACCAAGTAAGACGCACATTTAAAACCGTTATTGTTTTAACTGGAATATAACGTCATACTTATTTAAATTTTAATGTATCATTGTGTAGATCTGATGTTTTGGGACATATTTTCCCATTGGTGGGAAAAGACTGGGCGCAGTCAGGCGTCGCTCAGTTATTTACGAAAATCAAGAACAACGGGTACCAGCTTCTTTACCTATCTGCCCGGGCGATCGGACAAGCTAGGGTAAGTACAAGAACGCAGCCCATATACAATTTAACTGTATAAACCAAAAAATATATATATCAAGCTTTCCTTAGTGATAAGATAAAACCTATTATTTTGTAATAAGGAATTAAATGTAACCTACCTAAAGACCTATGCAAACTTACAAACGATAAGTTGTCACTTTTAAACCTCTGATAGGTATAATTTATAGATAAATAATTGATATTTTAAAAACAGTGGTGCCTTAATTAAATGATTTGTTCAAAGTGATTTATTATGCCATGTACTGATACAGGTACTTATGAGTCTAACAAAAACGCTTGGAAATTTTTATTATAATTAATTGTACAGTTAATAATGTGAAATTATTCCGTTGACTTTAATTATTAAGAATGAATTATACATAATATAACACCGCAATTTCACTCATATAAAACTTGCTTTGCTAGACCTCGAGAATGGTATTTGAATAAATATTACAATAACGCTTAAATATAATTGCAGGATTGAAAGTATTACAAATTAAAAAAAAAAAATTGAAAAGTATCAACGAATTCAATGCGCCTACGTTATAATAAAATATAATGAATTATAATAAATTGTATTCTTCATTCCTTAGTTTTTTTACCTTTGGCGGAATATTTTTCTCCAAATATAAATGGTACCAGTGGTATACTTAGTCCAATTAAAAAAAATTGATTTAGTTGATAAATGACAAAGTTTTAAGAAAAAAGAAATACAACTGAACTGAAAACCTCTTTTTTTGGAGACGATTAAAAAGTTGAATTTATTGCTTACACAGGTAACTCGTGAGTACCTGCGCTCCATCAGGCAGGGCGAGGTGTGCCTGCCCGACGGGCCGCTGCTGCTCAACCCCACATCACTATTGCGTGCCTTCCATCGCGAAGTCATCGAGAAAAAACCGGAGGAGTTCAAAATACAGTGTCTGGCTGATATTAAGGCGTTGTTCCCGCAAGGCTCTAATCCTTTCTACGCTGGATATGGCAATAGAGTTAATGTACGTAACTATTGCTCCTATTTGGTAAAAAAATATCGGACTAAAAAGAGTGGAGCTCACATGGATAGAGATACGTTGAATATGTACATAAAAATATAATTTTCAACAGATAATATTTTGTCCCAACAAACAACATTATAGGTACAGAGTGAGTGCTCCTATACATTTCAACTGCAAATGAGGTTGGCCGTTAGGAAATATAAAAAGGCTATGGTGATGAGCAGTAGTATACCAGGTATATAATCTCATTTTATATATATTTACAGGATGTATGCGCTTACCAGGCCGTCGGCATTCCGATCGTCAGAATTTTCACTATTAATTACAAGGGCGAACTGAAGCATGAACTGACTCAGACATTCCAATCCACGTGAGTATCCAAACAAATTATTTGGCTTTCATTAACATCACCCTGTCTCACATAATCGCGTCACTAACATCATGTTTACTCATTTATTGAGGATTATTATTTTTATTTCAGTTACAACGTGCAAAGTGACATGGTCGATGATTTCTTCCCGAAACGTGTAGTTAAAAGCTAGTAGCAGGTTTAGGTGTATAATGTAGAGTTTTATTTAATTCGAGATTATCGAGCACGCGATATTGAACCGGTAAGACGTATAGAATGACTTGTAAGGCTTAATCACGTTTGAGGCTACAGACTCACACATTTCAAATCTTAAAAAATCATTTAACCAAAGTTTATATAACGTCATTTTTTATGTGATTACTAAAATTATACTTACAAAAACTTACAATCATCGACATGTCATCTGTCTTATTACTCTTTATTGGTGTTTGTCTTTCAGGCTTGTTATTATGTATTGTTAATATTTAATGTTTGTACTGGTCTGCCATATCTTCTTTCGCTTCTTGGTTCGCAAAATTTAAAATATATAATACATACATTCATTATACAATTTCAGTATGCCTATCTACTCTAAATATATCCTTTACATCCATTAATGTTCAGGCACACATTCAACGTTTTACGTAATTCAAGTGATTTTATGTCGGGCATCACGTTAAAATCATGCGACTATGTGTTTGTATCCGTGTGGTGATGGATTAAGAATACGAATTGTCACCACCCCTATTCATCCCAGGGTGTCGTAAGGGCAAACTACGCATGACAACAGCACTGCAAAAAAAAAAACCCCATACCTACTCATCTGGCCAGCGCGGTATAGTAGGCATCCTAACCTCCTTTCTAAGGAGAGGCCCATATCCAACAGAGGACTGTTAAAGGCTATTGAAGTGATGATGTGAATAGTCTTGTCGCCTTTGTACAAGGAGTAACAGTTCTTGAGAATACGGAAAATAGCTTGACTGTACAGTGCACCACACCAAATATCACCAGGTCAAGTGTCGTGGGTTCGATTCCTACGCATAACTATAATTTATTGCATTTGCACAGATTATTTTGCACAGTGTATATTGTAAAAGTAGTAAAAGACGGTTAATGTTCAACGGAGTAATAGCACATCGTAGCAGCAATCATTTCGATTTCCTGCTGCTTATTTAGCTTCTTATGTGTCTAGTCTTACAAGTCGACTGATCGTTTGGTAATATACACATAAGTTAAAATATAAATAATAGAAAAATAAAACTTTTCTTTGAATTAAGAATGGATGGATGCGAAATTACATAAATAAAGATAATAATAATGACCAGGATGTCTTTCATATTGACAGATTGTACCTATTGTATAAATTAATATGCAATCATTCTAGTCTAAAAATATTAAGATTTTTTAGTAATACTTTCAACATCAAATATAATAAAAAAACCGTTTGAAAAGAATTACATCAGTGCCACCACCAAGGAACACTCCTTAGTGGAACCCAATTACGCGAGTGGTGGCGGAGGAGCGTGAAATTAATGAAGTTTGATGTCGTCGGCAGGTACTTGCACATGTCGGTGCTGGTGGACCAGGTGTTCCCGCCGGCGCAGTGCGAGCCGAGCGCGGAGTTCTCGCAGACGGTGTACTGGCGCGAGCCGCTGCCGCTCGTCGAGCTGCCCGTCGCCCCGCCGCCTCTCCCCAAACACTAGGATCGACCTACTCACATCCTACTATTTAAAATGCCTCGTTTTTGTGTACTATGAAGTACGCTTCATCGTGTGACGATTTTACCTAATGCAATTGTTAATAAACTTACTTGCACGCAAAATATACGCACGTCGTAAGTTCAGTACTCGCCTATTGTTAGTTTGAGCTAGCGTTCACCCTTACGAACGTGGCGTTGGCGTGCCCGATTCGGCCTCCCTCGCTTGCTCCGAAGTGAATAAGGACTTCATCCTATTATTTCAATTGACTAGTGTAGGCTTCGCCGAAAATATTGTTTAAGCTGCTTTAGAACTAGAATGTTTAGTTTCGTATGTCGTTAGTATGTAGAGAATACCAAAAAACAGAAAGGCTTAGCTTGTAGTATCTCGTATGTGTCACGTAAGTTTGAATGTTGTCTCGTGATTTATTTAACGGAACTGTTTGGAAAGTCTTAACAGTCAGTAGTGTGGTACTTTAAAAGTGATTCAATATTATTATTTACAATTCATTCTTTACGAAGACTGTATACAAAGGTGGTAAAATGGTTTGCAGAGTTAGGTTCTAAAGAAATCAATTTGAATTTTGGTTTCGTCGATTGTGTAAGCTGTGATGTCGTCGACTGATAACGATGCTTTATTTTTATACTGTGATTACCTATTTGTATGTGCTAAGTTATATTTGTATTAGAGCAATACACATTCGTAAAACGCAGAGGCTTGGCTTCTGTTAGATATATTTTATTTGTAATCAACACATCCTTGATGATTATGAAACACTGATTTGTAATTCATAGTTAATTTTATGTCTAATTAGAATTTGGTATATTTTTTAACTTAATTTATTGTTGTTTCTGTGATTGTTTCAATAAATATTTTCAGAAATAACCAACTAATATTGTTGTTTTCTTTTGTTGCTGACTGTAGTAGCACATTTCTTCCTCTCTCTCGGTTTTCTCCCACATGTCACCCATGGTAAACCTAAAAAATATTCTAGAATGGGTTCCCTTCTTTTCGCATAATGCTTTTTCCTAATATACTTTGGCAAAATTTTCATTCGTATAGCGTTACTAGGCAATGACTATTTAACCTAATAGTATTTAGGTTTAAAAATCAAGACTAATAATGGAATGAGTATCAATAGGTTAAAGGGCGTCGGGGGTGGCCCTTGGGCCGCTCCTCAGCCGCCAATATATTTTACAAACATATAACAAATTTACTTTTAGTACTGGTGTCTAACATTTTAGGACTTCATTATTGTGTATTTCTTATGCCTATAAAATCATGTTTTAATGTCATTATGCGTAAATAAATTTATAATTTAGAATGTTTGCCTAAACATTATTATGATTAGAGGAATTATGCCAAAAAAAAATGAATGTTTGCCTAAAAATTTTATGCGAATAGATAGTGAACCTTCTAGGATATAATGATGTATCATCAACTAAGGAATCAAAAAAGCATATTTTTGACGCCATAATTCGGTTTTTGTTTTCTTCACCCACAACGCGTGGTGTATCGAAATGAATCGTGTAAAAGATAAATAAAATGGTGTGCGTTACCCCAGCAAAATAATGTCGAAAATGGTCATTTAAACTTTATACATAATTAGTTGCTCCCCTTCTGTAATTGTTAGGCACATTTTTAAATTTGTTTCACTTAAACTTTTTTAGTTATTTCAAAAAAACATTTCCTGCTGGGGTAACGTTTGAAACGTTACCGCAGCCAGACATTTTCTTTTTTAATTGTAATATTGAAATAAATTTTAGCTAAATAATTAGTTATCTGGACTAGGTAAATGTTACAACTTATTTGGTATTCTTATTTTCTTCGGCTGCGAAGTTATTCGAGATCCTGCTGGAGTAACGTTTGTGGGTTTTCTGGATCTCTGAAACGGGTAAACTAAAAAACACGCTTTCTATAGAAAACCAAACTAAAAAATAGAAAATAAATTTGAAAAAAAGCGTGGGGTGCTTTTTGCTATTAACAACAGGCACCCAACGCTTTTTTTCAAATTTATTAAAAAAAAAATGCAACAAAGACGCGATTCTTATGACTCTGTGTGCATCAGGTTTTTTTAAGATTGCTGTTTTTTATGATAAAGGGGGCAGATGCGCAGATGCGTTGGGAAGTAACGTGATGTGTCTCAAGTACGACACGTTGCCGGCCTTTGGGTGGGATTACTTTGATTTCTGGAAGGTTTGAATAACAATCTGATTCACAGATTGATTGTGAGAGGCAACGAGTTTCTTAACCTTTACTGCATATAATTATATTAATTTTATATTGACGGGCCTGTTGGCCTAGTGGTTAGCGATTCAACTGCTAAGTCAGAACCAGAACCCATGACGGGTTCGATTCCCACCCAGGACAAATAATTGTGGGATGCGGACGATCATTTGTTGTGACAGAGTAAAATTTAACTATGTCGGGGCACCAGGGACTTCCTTTCTAGGGTATACCTGGCTATTAGTACCCGAGACGGCGTGCGGTTTTAGTCGGTTCGAGTCCGACATGCCGACATGGTGGTAATCAAGGGGATTTGCGCACGGAAAAAAAGGGTAAAATTTAACTATAATATGTACTTAGAAATATATTAGTATGTTTATCAGCATTATTACGAGTATATATAACATTATTATATCAGAAAAAAGCAGTCATATATGGATTCATATGCAATATGGCATAAATTATGTTAGGTCATTTATATATATATATATTTATAAGATTTTGCTATGTATATGGAGGAGGTGAAGCAATCTTATATATTTATTGAAACGATTACGTTTCTCGTTGTAGCATAAAGACTTCGCGTTTTGATGATATAAGTGATAAACAAGCAGACGGGTCACCTGATGGAAAGTAACTACCGCGTTGAAAGTCTCAAAGACAGTTGGTATGTACTAAACTGGAGCTTTTTGTTTCTTTTTTGATGAAATTGGAGAACCTGGCATTCTAGATGAGTTCCAGCACGTCTTGAAAGAGTACAACTCTTGATGATGTTGGTGCACCTTACCTGCTTTGAGCATACACATGCTCTAAGACAGCTACTATGAAATCAAATAGGGGTATGCACCTGTATTCAACACAACCAACAAACCACAAGTTAACCATGTGAATGAAATTCTCTTGTAGCAATTTGCATGACCGAAATTAGATGCTTTCATATACGGGCGTTGAATTTGGGAAAATCAACCCCTTCCATACGCTGATTGTAAACGTCAACAGCTTGCGAAGAAGTTACTTTCTTGCACTGCTTTTCGAAAATAAACAAGGTGAACTTTACTCAAAAATATAGAATTTATATGCTTGGAAGTACCATAAAAGATAGAAGAGTACATTCCTGAAAAACTTAAAATAATAAGTCTTAGAGCATACGAATCCATATAGGACGAATAGTATGACGGGGATGCATACCAAGCTATATATGAATCTTGATATTTCTGTCTTAATAAAAAAAATTTTTTTAACAAAAAACGTGTCAAATATTGATCAAAACAATAAGTAAATACGAAAACAATTTAGTTGTTATAATTAATGTTTTAAAGAGTGTATATAATTTTATCTATACTAATATTATAAAGCTGAAGAGTTTGTTTGTTTGTTTGTTTGTTTGAACGCGCTAATCTCAGGAACTACTGGTCCGATTTGAAAAATTCTTTCAGTGTTAGATAGCCCATTTATCGAGGAAGGCTATAGGATATATATCATCACGCTAAGACCAATAGGAGCGGAGCACCAATGAAGAATGTTTCAAAAACGGAGAAAATTTATTACTATTGAGAGACGCAGACGAAGTTGCGCGGGTCAGCTAGTCAGATATATAATTCCCAGAATGATTAGTTTTTCACTAGTAAAAGTTTCTCAAATTTTATTGCTGTTTAGTAATCAAGTAGTGCAAATGACCTCATATAGTTTTAATACACATGATTAATCATAGACTAAAAAAATTACGTCTCTTAACAATGAAATACCTAAGGTAATAAGATTAGTTGTTTTTTTAATTTTTTATTTGTACTATAAAAAATAATAAGTTTTAAAACCAGTAATGGCTTCCTATGTGCTAAGGGATTAAAAAGCACACTACTGAAGTGCCAATTATCAAGGTAATGGTACACTTCATGACATTAAGTTAATAACATTTACAATATCATTGTTTATCCTTCTGAACACTTCCTACTGTACATATATTTTTTAAATCAAGTGTTGTCAAAATAAAACAAAGATTACGTAATTACCATATAATAAAATAGTTTTGACACCTAAATACTATGTTTCATCTTCTTCCATGGCGTCTTGATCTTGTTCATCGTCATCATTTTCCTCTTCTTCATCACTAGGTAGGTCAATATCTTTGTGGAATCCTTTCCCCTTAGTCCAGTGGCACTTGATAACAACTTTAAACTGTGCCATCTGTATACCCAAAAGTTTCAGTACACTCGCTTGTTCTGGAGTCAACGGTGTTCCTTTTTTACAAACCTAAAGGACATTAATTTATGGTAATTAAATAATTAGACAGAGGTAGTACAGAAGAGATTCGCTGATCCAGATCTCAGTTATACGCATAAGCTATTATCCAGACTATCATATAACTTTTTAAATATCTAATATCCCTATTAAGGTTGTCTGTAAGAGATCGCCGTGTGCGATAAGACCGCCGATTGTTGATCTACATATTTGTGAGTAATCTTTTTTATGTGTTAACTGTATACAATAAAGATATAAATAAATAAATAACTTGTAAGGATCAGCGATCACATAATTAGAGACAGGCATGGCAAATGGAGTACGACTATCTGTGACTGGTACCCAGAGATGGCAAACGTAATAGTGGACGCCAACAAGCGAGATGGGCAGATGACCTGAGGCTAACAGCTGGACACCACTGGAGAAGGGTAGCGCAAGACAGAACCCAATGGAAAGTGCTAGAGGAGGCCTATGCCAAGAGGCACTCTGAATTGCGAGATATTTTATAGACTAATTATGAACTGTTTAATATTGTATTTAGATAATTCAGAATAAAGGGCTTATTATTATTATAAGGATCAGCGATCATATAACTTATATACGAGGGCGGGTCAATAAGTCCGTGACTTTTTGAATTTCTGACCTCTTTACTGAAAAAGCAACACTACTCCTGTCAAAATTTGAACTTGCTGCGTCAGTTAGTTTGTGTTTGACAGCTATCTTTATCAGACTACCCAGTAATTTGAGCAAAAAACTGAAAAAAGTGAATTTCGTGTGCTTATTAAGCATTATTTTTTGCGAAAAGAAACCATTACCGAGACCAAGGCTAAGCTTGATAAATACTATGGGGACTCTGCAATATCGATTTCAATGGTAAAAAAGTGGTTTACTGAATTTCGTTGTGGCCGTACAAGCACTGAAGATGCCGAACGTCCTGGACGCCCAGTTGAGGTCTCTTCACCCGAAACAATCGAAAAAATTCACGATATGGTGTTGGCCGACCGAAGATTGAAAGTGCAAGAGATTGTGGAAGCCGTAGGGATCACGCATGGCTCAGTGGTTTCAATTTTGAATGATCACTTGGGCATAAGAAAGCTTGCCGCAAGATGGGTGCCGCGCTTGCTCACAGTCGACCACAAACGCAATCGTGTAACAACTTCACAGGAAGGTTTGGCGTTGTTTAATCGTAATATGGAGGAGTTTTTGCGCCGTTTTGTAACCGTGGACGAAACATGGATCCATCACAACACACCAGAGACCAAACAACAGTCAAAGCAGTGAGTTTCTAAGGGTGAATCGGCGCCAAAGAAGGCCAAGGTGGGTTTGTCAGCCAATAAAGTTATGACGACTGTCTTTTGGGATGCACGCGGGATAATCCACATTGACTACCTTCAAAAGGGAAGAACAATCAATGGGGAATATTATGCCAACTTATTGGACCGATTCAATGACGATTTGAAAAAAAAACCGACCTCATTTGGCCAAGAAAAAAGTTCTTTTCCACCAAGACAATGCAAGGGTGCACACATGTGCAGTTGCCATGGCAAAAATCTATGAATTGCTCCCTCATCCGCCCTATTCTCCAGATTTGGCTCCGAGTGACTACTTCTTGTTTCCAAACCTGAAGAAATGGCTTGGTGGAAAAAGATTTGACTCCAATGATGTCATCTCGCAAACAAAGGCCTATTTTGAGGACCTCGACAAATCATATTTTTTGGAAGGGATAAAAAAATTGGAGAAGCGTTGGACAAAGTTTATAGAGCTCAAGGGAGACTACGTTGAAAAATAAAATGATTTATTTATCAAAAAATCTGTGTTAAAAAAAGTCACGGACTTATTGACCCGCCCTCGTAATTTATGCTATTCATTCATTCAAGTCGTTAATGTTTTAGACAGTTGGGATTATAAGGTATTCATGATTATTAAATGCAAAATATGATAGAGGGCCATCTCAAGTGGAAATCCTGTAACTAGTTTTCAAATGTTGCAAAAAAACAAAAAGAATATGAGCCTGTGATACAACATCAGAAAGAAAAAGATTACAACCATTAGTAGATAGCTAGACCATTTGACATACAATTTTGTAGTCTCAAAAAATATTGATTTTCGATTATGCAAATGGCTTACGGAAACAATTATTCTATTTAATTGGGTCTACTGTAATTAATAGTAGTCACTTTTGACAAGCTTTACTGACAGAATTTATATTTTTTCACTAGTTTGTATATATTAGGCAAGTGTATTATTGTAAATAAAATAAAGTTATGGTTTCCATATCATAATTTTAAAATCATAATGTGAGATGAGATTTATTTTTGTTTATTTAATATATGTTTAATATATTTTGTCAAGTGGATACACTAGCAAACTTGTGATTACACATCAAAGCCAATAGTTAAAGTTGCATTATTTATATTATATCAGTTATTTTAAAATTGATATCATACCTGATATTCCTTTATAAGATTTACTACACCTCGCTCTAGAGATGTTGGCAGTCCAAGCTTCCGAAGATGAGGTTCGATTGTATGGGAAAAATCTTTAAGGGGACCTTGAGGCAGTATTACATCTTTTGTCGCCAAAAACCCTGCACGAGCATATTCTGCATCACGGAAGTCTTTAAACCATTGTAAAACCTCAGGCACATCTTTATTTGTCATAAGCAAACCGCATTGCCCCTTTAACCTCTTTGACAGCTGAAAATAAAGTAATAAGTTCTAAAATTGTCTGACATGATATTTTTAGTAGTTCTAAGTCACTTAAAAATGTTTTCAATGACTAATAGCTGTGATAGAAGCAAAATGATTGGGTTTGAAAGTTACAAGTAATATAAAAACCAATAATTATGATCAATACATAATGAGCTAAGTAGAGACCAAAGTACAAGGGATGGATAGCACTCTTTGGGGTAGGCCTTTGTTCAGCTGTAGACGGCGATAGATTGATGATGGTCTAGGCAAATATTTATGCATTACGCCAGACAAGAGTTATCTTAGAGTATTATCTCTAGTCATTATTTTCATGTAGTGTGCTCATGGCACACTACATGAGTACGCTAATAAGTCCACTTAATAAATATAAATTTACACTTACTAGATTTAATTGGTCTTCCACTTCATCACTTTTACTCCTGCCAAGAGCTACAGCCATAACTTTATTTTTCCCAAAAAAGAATCGGGAGTCTTTCCATTCATTACGAAGATCTTTTAATTTCGTGTTTCGCATGTTATCCACCGTGAATAAGAAAATATGTTCATATTTCGACAGTGAATTTCGTATTTCTTCAATTATTTTCTGTTTAAGCAACAATCCCTTCTTGTTTGTTTTTGTCAGGGAAACTACAAAAAAATACATGTTAAAGTTTCAAACCTTGTATCCGGTAACTGTGACGTTTTCAATTTTTAGTATTTTTTGTTTCAAAAACATAGTTTTGGAACGAAAAATACAAAAATACCATTCCGTAGCCATACCTTTTTTATCTCTTTTTGATTTGGGCATTGTGAATCTTAAGATACGCTAATTTTCTCACACAGTTTGCCGAACTGGATTCCAGTTACTATCTCACTTTCTATAAATAATTTAATACAAATAGTAATGTTTCCAAGTTAACGATGTAACTACATAACCTCAATACATTATCAACATTGAACATGAGGGTGACATGTGCATGTGACACATGACACTGACACATTATACGCTTTTTTTTATTATTGTTGTATTTTTAGGCCTGGTAACAAGACCTTTAAGCCAAGTCTTAATTTTTGATGGATAACTTCACTATTTTCACTTCACTTCAATGGGGATTCTAGGCGGGAATCTGTCTAAAATCCTCCGCCCTTTCAGTTCAAATTCCCGCCTAGAACTCCCACATTATACGCATGCAGGACTACCAGTTGCCAACATTAGAACTTTTTTCTCGAACATAAACACCAAAAAAGAATCTCGTTTTTGGCTTTTAATCGGTGTACATTCATCAAGCACATAAAATGTTACAAAACCAAAAATAGGACACATTAAATGAGTGCCTTATCAGACATTTGTTAACTTAAAAAAACGTAATTAAACAAATCATCAACATCAGTCTATTGTAGGCCACAGCTGGGCATAGGCCTCTTACATTGCACTCCATTTCGATCGGTTTTCGGATTCTTCCCAGAAGCTCCCACTTTTTTTTTTTTTCCGATCGGGATCCCCTCGGATACCACCTGTTGGTGGCATGTCGGACTCGAACCGACTAAAACCGCACGCCGTTTCGGGTACTAATAGCCGGGCAACCAGGTATACCCTAGAAAGGAAGTCCCTGGTGCGCCCAGAAGCTCCCACCAGCGATCTTAGCAAGTTGCAGTAGGCTGGCCATATTAGCCGCAGAACCGACAACCGTTCTGGTAAACGATTCTTGATTGGAGAGTGTGGAGACCACGTCTAGGCAAATGTATTACTGGACGACCACAGGCCAGGAGCGACGATTAAACAAACAAACTGTTGATATCATTAAAACAAAAAATGCAGAGTTTGTTTTTTTAATTTTCTTAAATAGGTTCTTATTTTTTAATTTTAAACTTTCAGCTAAATTTACCGCTCATAATTTACTATTTATTGAAGTTAAATGAGAATGTTCGGTGGCCGGCACATCAGACTGTTACAATCTGTCAAATTTCCTGAATAAATTTAGAACATAAGTTATTGCTAAAGTATAAAAACTTATTGGCGCTATAATATTATGATGTCCACTAAAAATCATGCTATGAAATTTTCTGAATAAAAATTTCGAACATGATTATTATTGTACAAGCCTGATCGTATCCTCGTACCTAGTATAGCAAACCTCTTTAAATCTCGTTATTATGACTATTTTAAATTATTTTTTGGACTCCTAGTTTCGTTTCGGCAGTAATGAAAATAATTAGCACTGAGTCTTCTTCATGACATTTAATAATTTCATCATCATCATCATTATCAACAACCTTTAATAGTCCACTGCTGGACATAAGCCTCTCCTAATAATTTAGTTACTAAATAATTTAGTTTTGTGTTTTAATTCTAATTTTTTTTAAGTCGCTAACAAAATTTACACCAGTAACAAAAACCGTACATTCTAGTACTTGTTTTAAAATTAACCCGAGCGATGTGTCGATATATCTCTGTGCTAACATAATGTTTTATGAAATTTAAGGTGAGGTGAGGTTATTAAAGAAATATGCCATTAGAGGCATTTTATTTTCAAACAGATTTAACCTTTTGCTTAATTTATTTTAGTGAAAACCTTAAAAAAGGTGAGTCATTGTGAACACCAACTAAAATAATCGGATGTCTAATTATATTTAGAGGCAAGTGGAGCTATACTAGATTAAAATACACATTCTCAGAATATAAATAGCGTTTCAATTCGAAATCACCCGCCAGATTCATAACTTCCTGTTACCTTACCGAGTGATCTAGGACGCATATTTCTCCATTTTGAATTTCTCTGCTATCTTTTACTTAAATCTTAGGAGGAAAAGAGCGCGCGCTATATTTGATGATAATTTTGTGTACACGGATTGCCAGGTATCGTGATTCGCTTCCTCAGTAGTAATTCAAGATGGCCGACTCGTAATGTGAACCCTGTTCCGTTTTTGTTTCCCCTCTGGCCCCGCTGCCGTCAGTGTAGTATATCGTTCACCGCAAGACAAAAACCGATATTGTGTTGTAATTTGCTGGTGTAATTACTTTTTTCCCCTTCTAACAAGTAAGTGAACTAAATTTATATTAAGTGAATGTAATTTTGTGTTCACCATAAAGTGTCTGTCTTCAAAAACGTTTTTTTCACAAATCTGTGACTGTGACGCATAGAAGGAGTGCCCCTTGCAGCAGCCATTTTGCCTGAACCGGCGACACGATTTCGCAGCGCGGTTAGCTTTAATATTCTAAATCTTTACTCTAGGTTTTTATGTTCTAATCTAGGCATTTTATTGTCTAGAAGTAAAATATTTTTCACTTAACAAAATTAGAGTTTACAGACAACAGAGTACATCGTGTAAGTTAGCTTTTTGGCTCTTATTACATTTTCTTCTTGTGACTAAATTTTAATTTTGGAATAAGATACGGATTTACGTGCATTCATAGTGAATTCCCGTGGTTTTGGACAAATAAAGGTTAAGTGGATCGTAAGAAATGCGTGGGCTTATCGAACGTTGGCGTTATTCATAGAGGTAACTAGCCGTCGAATTAGTGCGTCGTAATTTCGCCGTGCGTAGTCATGCCGTTATCTTGGTAAATTCAATGACTATGTAATGTCATTGAAGCTACTCTTACCGTATGTAGGTACCTAGTTTATTTAAATTACTAGACTGACGTTATTCCTTTCACCACATTGCCTGTGTAAATCATTTCTAAATTTCTTTGTATGTATTTGACCATGGTTTCATGTAATGTAGTTGGGTATTTTATCTAATAGTAATGTGGCTACCTTCGACTGTTAGAACGCCTTTCAGATGGGCACGTGCGTGACATTGAGTTTACGGCACAATGCTCCTATTACAAGGTGTTGGGTAGTGACACGTTCTAATCAAACGATATTTATTTCGAAGAAGATTTTTGTTAATTATTACGATTCTTTTGCCTTGCCAGGTTTTCAATCATTAATTTCTGTTCCAGATAAGTGTAAGCTACACAATGTGTGTATTGTGTATGTAGTACCTATGTTGTTTGCCTTGGATTAGTCACACTTAAACCACTGTCATGATTCGACTCATAAATTAAGTGTTTCTAAGAACGGAAAACTAGAAATTTTCAAAATGTAACAGAAATCGCTCTGTTTTGTATATAAAGTTACTAGAATTTTATACATTTGAAAATATAGATGATGAGGTCTGAAATAATGAAATTAAGGTATGACTGCCATGGGATTTGAATACTATTGTCACATTTTACAAGTTTCCTCTAACAAAGAAGTATTGAATAATTGTAGGAGATAGATTCTAATAGTGAACTAAAGTAAAGCAATCTAATTATTGGACATTTAGATATCAAATTTTAGCAATAAAAAGATAATTTATACAGTTTTCAATTACTTTTATCATAGCTAGAATCAACTATCTATATTTTGCTTTGTCTTCTAGGTATAATCATCTATTCTGAACACTATGATTCAACCTTACAAATATATATATTATATAAAAATTCTGAAAATATAACTTCTTAATTTTGCTTCATATTGTAACATTTATGTATGAAGTATTTTTAAATTAAATGCATTTATTTTTTAAAATATTATCTTCATTGTTACTTCACTCACAACATAGAAATTTAAAAACAGGCTATGCATTTTGTGTAGAAATACAAATAAATATATTATTATAATTTTATAAAATGTAATTTACTCATGGTGCCGGAAGGTATCCTTGGTGTCATGACAACTCTACTAACATAGTGTTGTTATACTTTAATAATTACATTTAATTATTCTATGTTAAATTTTTATTGACCATGATATAAAAAAATGGGTATTAATGTCCATCATACAGGGGAAGAAGTCTCTTTCTGAGCATATTAAACATTAAAAGTTGCATTCTAAATAATTTGCTCCCATTTAAACCTCTTGGCAACAACTGGGCAGTAGGGATTAAAGTAGGGAAAATAGGGGAGTATATGCGAACGGAAAAATTGTTTAGTGTATAAAAAATATGCAAATACATAATAACAGCAAATACTGACAGAATCAGTATTTGTAAGTTTTATAAATTGGTTTTGTCTAAATCCCAAATTAAAAAGCCTTAATGCAGAGCATAGTGACTAGTGTGTAAAAAGTTATAGGTAGATAAGGGTAGCGTGAGGTAGGTAGGCGCCGGGCCGACGGGCGCGGTGCACGGGGGTGTAGTAAGGGTGAGGGGTGTGTGCAATCGTCGCGCTAGTCGTATTTCGTCTGGAGTGTTTATCCCGCGTCGGCGGATCAATACTGTTGGCGCAGTGGCGGTGACCAAGCGGCCGGCGCGGCAACACGGCGCGTGCTTAGCCTGCTAGTTGCTCGAGTCTGTGTGATGCTGTCAAACCGTACGGACGCCGCGTCGATGTCGCGTTTGGCGTGAGAGTCGCTCTTAGAGCTACATTGAAATTTCATACTGCGCTAGTGCGCTTGTGAGCCTCTACCCAAGGTGCGACATTGATGACTATTACCCATGATGACTAATACCCAATAAGCGATTCGCTTCGGTGAAAGTGACGCCCAACGATTAGTCTTTCTGATTAACTTGAACTAAAAATGAATCGTCTTTGGTAGTCGGTTCAGATAGTTTATTTGTGATACATTGTTCATTGCAGGGGCATCAGTGATATAGTCCTCTCCCATCGTCCACGATGTCCGTCGACAAGGAGGAACTGGTGCAACGCGCCAAGCTGGCGGAGCAAGCTGAACGATATGACGACATGGCGGCCGCGATGAAGGAAGTTACGGAAACCGGTGTGGAGCTGAGCAACGAGGAAAGAAACCTGCTTTCCGTTGCTTACAAAAACGTGGTAGG